TGCACATTGGCGGGAGTTTCATTGGCCCAGCGAGCATTGTTGAAGCTCCTTGTTCATTTGAAGCGGGAGGCTCTCATCGCATCGTCTGGCCCCTCCATGTTGCCCAGCCTCAGATTGGCAGCGCGTCCCGAAGGCTCTAGAGAGGCTCGTGGCTCGTGTGGCAAAAGGTGTGTAGCTTCGACATCTGGGCACCCGGTGCATGTCCGACAACATAAGAGCTGTAACGGTTGCTCACATCGAGCTTCGGGGCATAAGGCATGGCGATTCAACGCGCTAGCATCTGATCAACGACATTCCGCCCTTCCAAAAGTGCGCTTTGTGCTTCTTCCGCCCTATCAACGGCCCTGCTCCACTTCTCTTCCAAGTCCGATGGCCCTACGAACTGTAGTTCCCACACTCCGTCAGAAGCCCAGGTGCACTGGTTCTTGGAACCATTGGAACTGGATATTCGGACTTGGCTTCTCATACCTGGGCGGCTGGGGCTTTCTTTCTTCATGGGGTAACCAGAAGACCTGGCCAGTCAGGGAGCCGAAACACTATCTCAGGCTCAAGTCGCAGGAGTTCGGCCGTCATCCACATTCCGTTTCCGCTGATCCATATCATAGGCCTGAGCTGCCGTGTGGGAAGCCAATCGGGCGGCTTTCCAGTACCTTCCTGGATGGAACGTTGCTCACGGCTGCATGGGGAATGCCGCGAACCAAGTGGCACCAGGCGGTGTAGCCGTTGGAAGACGTCGGCGTCCTGCTCACACAGACAGACGCGCATGCATACGTGTGTGTGTATATGTATATAAGCACATATACATATATACCTATTATATGTATATGCGTTTGTGTGCTCTTGTTTGTTTACTTATTTGTTTGGTTCTGTCCTTATCTACATATTTACATGTTTATCTCTCTTTGTGTATGTTCATCTGTCTTTCTTTGTGTATTGGGATTTATGCATTCGTACATGTATATTGTGTGCATATATGTATATATATATATATATATATATATATATGTGTGTGTGTGTGTGTATGTGTATGGATAGGTATGGATAGGTATAGGTGTAGCGGTGTATGCAACATATGTATATATAGATGATATGTACGAAGAGGTATGGGTACAGCTAGGGTGCAGCTGTGTGCATGCGCATCTGCATGTGTAGGTGTCCGTCTTTGTTGCAATTCATCGTCTCGACTCGTACCCTTTCATTTCTCAATGCCACGAGGCTCGTGTGAAGCGGCGGTTTTCTTGACCTTCCTTCTAAACCCTAAACCCTAGCTAGGTCTTCTCGCAATCCCGCAGTTCCTGTGAAGCTTTGGACCCCATCCTGGAAGGAGCTCACCAGGTAGCAGGTCTCGAAGCACAAAGCTCCGGCCAGGGCAAACCAGGCGGTATATGGAAAGAGTAAGACCTGGCCACGGCTAGGGTTCCTTGGGTACAGAAGTTTCTGGGATTCCTGCAACTTGTGGGTTTAGGGCGTAGGGCTTCTGGGGTTTTTAGGGGGTTTAGGGCGTTAGGTAACCGCAGAAGTTCCCCAGGAAGGCCACACAAGTTCCTCAGCAAGCTGGTGACTTCAACGTATGGCCCCTCCGAAAGCTTCTGCAAACGGTCAAGAGCCGACCGACACTTTGAGGAAAGCTCCACAGACCAGGATCCTAATTTCCACGAATGCTGCGGCAGCGGCCCAACTTGCATCTTTCAGGATCCAGCACCTCGCTTGCAGGGTGTCTGCTCCCCCAGACATGCAGCTACTGCAGCCCAGGCACAGCAACGCATAGTTTTCCTGGGTCAACTCTTATGACATTAAGCGCATGTCAACGAACCCTGCTGGACCGAGCTGCTGCTCGTGGCATAGTCTGTGTGAGGCTCGCAGTGCACGTCAGTTTCCGCTTCTACAGATTGTCGTTTGCGCTGCAGATGCTGCCCAGCGACAAGCCGCGCAACCATCCTCAGCCCAATACAAGAACCCCTTTTGAAAGCCATCGGCACTCCCTTTGCCTCCCTCTCTCAGTTCTGTCTCTCTGCGTGCATGTGGATGCTTGATGCACAAGAACACTGCAGATTCTCACCTGGCCATTGCCCCGTAAACCAAGACCGAGGCACACTGCATTTGCCGGAGGACGCAATGGAATGAAAAAACTCGACGAAACCTATGGACTTCCCCTCTACTCCCTTTCGGCTCCCTTTTGGCCCACGGTGGAGAGCGCCGGGCCGGAGCCACTGCTGCGGACGAAAGAGAGGCCCAAGGAAAAACCGCTCAAAGCAATCACGACTGAGCTGAGATCCTCAGGCCACCCAACAAGCCCAAGCCCCACGAATGTTCGAGTTCTCCATCAACCGCTCGGTGCTTGCAAATCTGGACAGTCTTACAGTTTGGGGAGCCCAGTTGGGACAGGAATGCGCGTGCCACTGTCCCAGTATCGATTTAAGACATGTGGTGATATGGATGAAAGATGGCATTTGACGGTAGCTACAGTATTGCCAAAGGACCACTCTGACGAAGGTTCTGTCCGCCCTCGGCCACTACCCCTTTGCAAAACGCACGGTTTCAGAAAATGAAGGACCAAGTACAAACACTAAATGATCCCGATGGCCCTATAGTTCATCATAATGAAGACTGTAAAACTAAGGATAATGAAAGGCCCTTATACTGATTGTAGGACCAACATAAACCCAGGTTAGAACCGTAAAGCCCTTGCAAAACCCTGCGCGGCCCCCGCAGACGCCAGACCAACATCCCTCTTGAGCTTCTTACATTAAGGACCTGCAAAACGAGCAATGATAAGGAAGTCGGAATAGGTAGTAATCAGAAATTCTTGTAATCACTATGTAATTCTGCTACACTTGAAACCGTCCCGTGCACCAGGGCCCCAGGCGACGCTCCGTCTTTGTGACCCGCGACGGTCAACTGCGTGGTGGGTGCTTTCTTCTTGCGCAAGTTCGATTTTTCTATACAGCTTCGAACCGCGCGGACAAATGCAAGGTGGGTATGCCCGAAGGCCGTTGACAGTGCACCCAAGTTCGACTACGATGACTCTGCTACGGAAACTTCAATTGTTGAGAAGCCGTCGTATCCTCAAAAACTCTTCCTCCAGACTGAGCAGCTGCCGAGTTGCATTCTCCCTTGATGCCCATGATGCTTGCACGGGTGGAGTGCCTGTCAGAACAAGCTTGGCAGAAGCTCTACGGCGTCAGGGGAAGGGTCGGAAAGCACAAGCAACGCTCAACGCACCTGGCTTTGGGCGCTGTCGCCTGGAGCTGGACGGACAGTCGGACAGGCTGAAGGGCTGTGGACACGACTCTGTCAGAGCAGCAGAGCTTGGCGCAGACGTGGCGAAGGTACTCACGGCTCGCTGAATGCTGCAGTGCTGAGTTCCCCGGCAGAAGTGGAGGCAGAAGCCAAGCTGCTTCTTCGTCTTGCCGCCATGTCCTCGTGGCACGCACACAAGCTCGGGATCTACATGCAGCTGTCCGGTGCACCGTCCCGAGCCCTAAAACCTGGGCTCGTACAACAGCTTCTGTTTTGTCCACAAGACATGCCGCATGAGCTGAGCGCGGAGCCTCCCACTCGTCGCCGTCTTCCAGCGTTGCTTGCGGCTTCCAGGAGGCCTGTTTTACCGTGCCCGTGTGTGGCCTTCTGGGCGGCGCTTCGCCGCAAGTGTGGGGACGTCCACATTGCTTTAAGCAAGAGCTTCGTCTACGCCAGCATACGCCAACTCGCCAAGCCCTGACTCGCCTCTGAGCCTCCCGTCTTACTGCCCGAGGTGTTGCCAACATCAACCCGGCCTCGCTGAAGTCCGAAGAAGCCGTCTGCTTTCGAAGAGTCTGGCAAGCAACTGTAGTCTTCTTGTGAAATCTTCGCTCAGAACTTCGAAAATTCAATTTACCCGCGGCCGTGCTTGGCTTGGGAGGCAAGAGAACTGCCCGGGCGGACTTCTGCATCAGCGCTTGGCAAGCCTGAGCGGATGTTTAACGAAACCTATCCAGCATTTCGCAGTCAGGTGTGTACCGGGAAGTCCGTATAGTTTTCAGTCCACAAAGTTCAAGAAAATCTGCATAGCCGTTTAACAAACCCTATGCACTACGTGATCGAATCTCCTACTGGTCTTTTGGCAGCAGTCTGGCAGCCCGTATCATGCTCGTCTTATGAACTCAGTACCACTGCATATTCAGCTACCGATTGGCTGAACCCATCAAATGGCGGTGTGCATGCGGTGCTGTAGAGTGTGGTGCTAGGTCGTCGTCAAGGTTGTCGTGAAACTCGCGGCGGCGGTGGTGGTGGTGTGGCTGTTGCCCATGCTGTTGCTGCTGGCTATCATCTACCTCGTCGCCGTCGTCATGATTGAGGGCATTCGTGCCCCCCATATTTGGTAGTGGCAGAGGTCCGTCTAGTCGCTGCTCTTCCTGGCGGTGCTGGTGTGGTCGCCGGTCGTTGCGATCGTTGTCGTAGATTTTGTTACTGATGCTGTCGCTGTTGCGGTTTCTGCGGCAGCGCTGCTGCTGCTGCTGCTGCTGCTGCTGCTGTTTTGTTGCGGGTGCTGCTTGACTTCATGGTGGCACCCCAGATGCAGAACGCTGTATAAATAACGTAAACTAAGTAGACTTGTAATGAGCCAGTAGGTCAGTAAGTCTAAGTTATACAACACATGCCCGTGAGATTGGCACCAGCAGGATCCCAGGAATGGCAGGAGCGGTGGCAACGGAATTGTCTTTGCTGCCAGGTTACCCAAAAGCAATGGTTCTATGGGGGCTCATTACTTTCCAATTCAGGGCTACGGGTTGAAGGCATGGTTTAGCGATCTAGCCTTTAGTGTGTCAATGGAAATATCAGCACTGTTCACCCTTGTTGGCTTCAGTCTTTTTCAGCGAGGGTTCACAGCACACCCAGTCTGAAGCCCCTCTTCACCTGGTGTGGCTCACGGCTTGGCGACCATCCCCAACGAGGCAATGCCCCGTAGCGTGGGGTCGCCTCACAGATGCCCTCAAGAATCAAGAAGACTAGTTCTCTCGCTACTCCTGGATGCCGTTCACTTCTTCCTCCTCCTCCCCATCCTCCATTTCTTCCTCCTCAGAATCCGTTTGGTCGTCATTTTCGCCCGGATCCTCGTCGTCATCAACGTCCGCACCATAGAGGCTTCCATCATCCTCATTGTCCCAGTCATCAACAGCGTCCATGCACCAGGGGACGAGCTTCTGCAATTCGGAGATGATCTCAGGACCCTCGGAGGTCGCGAAGCATGTCGGGAAGTCAAAGGTAATCTTAAAGGAGATGAGCTTGGAGTCACTCGTGGAGAAGAGCATCTGGAAGTAGCTCGAGAGCTGTGAGGAGCCGACCTGGCCGTTGACATATTTAGCACAGAAAGGGCAGCCCTCCGCCTCCTTAGGCTTAGGGATCTGCTCCTGTCCCGCTTGCTCCTTGGGAATCGAGCAGTATACGGTGCCACACCTTGCACCTGGAGCTTTTGCTTCTCGCATCGAGGAGCTCTTTCCGAAGAAGGTGGAGAGAAGCCGCAGGCCTTTGCCTTCCAACGGGCTCAGGGCGGTGGCCGATGGAGGAAGGAGCCTGGAGCCATCAAGCGCCAGAAGCTCGCCTTCTTGGGCAAGGCAAACACAGCTTTGCTTCCTGGTGTCGGCAGAGAATCCCAGCAGGTCGCAGGTGGCCAACTGATAATCACCACAGTGCTGGATGCTGAGCGTGCGGGGTTTCGTTTTCCATGCCAGCGGAACTTCACGAAGAATCTGCCGTGCCACTTGCTGGAAAGTGGGCGCATGTTTGTTCAGGACTTCGCTCACACCCCCTTGCAGAAAAACATCTTCATCCTCGCCCATCTCACCTGAGATCTCAACTCCTGATATGAGAGCAGGCCAGGCATTGCTTCTGAAGATGGAGTGGCCGGCGGCAGATATGGGATCTTCCCACATCGTTCCAGCCACTACGGTGGAACAAACACATTCCTGGATAGAAGGAAGCTTTACTTTAGAGCCGTCGGGCACGCCCAAGGCACGATAGCAGAGAGTTTGCAGATCTGCAAAGGGATTCAAGGCATCGCGCCACATGCGACACACTGCCGAACAGGACGTGATGTCCTGCCACAAACTGGTAGCACCTGTGAGCACTACGCCCTGGCTTCCCTGGCGTCCCGAAGCTCTTCCACTCTGAAGCAAGATTGTAAGGAATATACCATTCTTCCCATAGTTTAGAGTACTACTTAGGGTCATGCAGGATTTTTGTCCATCAACAGTATCACAACAACCCGTGACCCTCAACCCTAAACCGCCAAAACCCCTCCTGAAAGAGCTGGAAGGCCGACAGGAGAGCCTGAACTGGGCTCTGACCCCATACGCTGTCAGAGCCCATCCCATGACCCATACCACCGCGCCAATCTGCAGAGGAATAATTGCACAAGACCTGGGGGCCATTTCGGAAGTGGTTCAAGCTCTGTGGCCCCCTACAGTAGGGTGTTCCAAGAGCGTCCGGAACAATGGTAACAAGTTCAAAACTAAGGTTTTTTGAGCCCAGACACATCCAAAACCGTGGAGCTGACGCCTGGCATCAACAGAGGGGACCTGAGGAAAAAACGGTGAGTTTTTTGGTGGCTTAGGTGGGAGTTTCCGAAAATTAGGGGTACCTTATTTTGGGGTCCTTATAATAAGGATCCTACTATTTAGGGTACTAGATTAGGGTCCCCTGTTTTCGGAAACTCCCTAGTGGCTTCATGCAAGCAGCTGATTCGCAAGGGTTTGGAAGTTTATACAGGATTTTAGAAAATGGAATCTTCAGGCACGACGGCTTGGAGGGTCGCACAACATGGTACTGCGGATGTTCCTGCCGTCGCTATTCATACCTCTAACGGGTCACACAAAGAGCACCACGATACTACGCCAGGGCACTGCAGCGGAGAGGCACGCAGATTTACTGTTGTACAGTGGCTTTGCATTTCTTTCCTTGCAAGCAAAAAAGTCCCATGCATGCATTACCAGGAGACATAGATCTATGGTAGGGATGTTAAACATAGGCTCTGGACTTAGCCTCTCCAACTGCACACCTCTGGCTTGTAAAGCCCTGCACAAGTTCCACCCACAATCACGGCATGCTCTTCGCCCCCCAAAACGGCGTAAAGCTGCAAACTACATCCTGAACATTGTGGTCAGATCTCGATTAGGGGGGTTCCGTGTTTCGGGCTTAAGGCACAACGGCCCCCCAACTCCAACACAAAAGCTGAGCCCGACGCCCCCACACCTCTTCTTACAAGATTGATATGGGTGGTTGTCAAAATTATGGTGTGCCCTAAATAGTAGGTGCCGTATTATAGTAAGGACCCAAAAACGGCCCCAAATATTGACAACCACCCATATGATATCTCTAAGCCTGCATAAAAATATCAACAAAACCCGCCAAAAAAAACCTGAAACCCTGAAACCCTAGAGGCCCTAAACCCGAAACACCAAAACACCCTACTCAGGCCCCACTCAGGCAGCGGCGGCTGGCTTCCGGTCTGAGCTCCGGGAGGTCGGACGGAGATCTCCCGGTGCACCGCGACGAAGGGGCCCGGAGCCGGTCCAATCACCGGCTCCCACTGCCCACAAACATCAGGGTCCTTTTATTCATGCTATTAGATATTATTATTATTATTATTATTATTATTATTATTGTTATTATTATTATTGTTATTATTATTATTATTATTATTATTATTATTATTAGTTCTATTATTATTATTAGTAGTAGTAGTATTAGTATTATATATATATATATGTTATACATTCTATATATATATATATATATATGTATATATATGTATTATATATGTTTATTTGATAGCATTCTTTCTGTTCTTGAACCCTCGTGTCTTTTGGCCCAACAGCTGCCAGACTACCATACTGGTTGAGGGACCTTGGAGTCTATTAGGTGAAACCCTCACCTTCAAATTTCAGCATAAGCTCTATACCCAATATGGCTCCGACACATAAAGTGACCGTAATCGTCGCAGGACATCACTTCCATCTCAAGATCTCACATCCATGATTACTGACCACAGCTTATGACAAGCAAGATCTTGAGGTGGAGGTTCAGGCCTTAGAGTCTCAGAAGCTTTAGGTCTTGAGCAGTGCAAGTTCCGTAACCTGCAGTGCTCGGCGCAACGAATCGTCGAAGGACGCACCCGAACGGAACGAGGGCAGGGCAAGACCGTGCCAAGGGCTCCGGCGGCTCCGGAGAGCCCGACTTTCAAATAAATGCATCCCAAATCGGAGGCGTGGGTTTGCTGGGGGGCTGAGGGTTCGGTAGGGCGGCCCTTGGAGGGCGTTGTCTGCCGGATCGGCCTGAAAGGCCCGGGTCCCTGCCATCTGCTGGACAGCCCGTTCCTGACTGGGCGGGGACCCGTCAGAAAGCGCAAGGGCTTAGGGTACAGAGGAAGACAAATCAGCATCGCGTCTTGGGGCCACATCAACCCTACCTCCTTTTTTTGCATCGGGACTTGTGCAATCGCGTGAACCCTACATCCCGAACTCCTGAACCCTTTATCCTCAATCCGGATCCCCACCCAGAGACTCTGGAGGGTTTAGGTATATAGTCGATGGGCTAAGGATCTGAGTTCAGGGTTTTCCGGATGCTGGATCTTGCAAAAACACTGTGTCCTGCCGGATGTAAAGGAGCTGAGGGGCCTGCCCTGCAGCTAAGTTCAGATAGTGTCGCTCCTCCCACAGATGATCCAGTGGCTGCACATCTGCAAACAAACACCTGGACTCAGGAGAAGCACAAAAAAACAAGCGCTGCAAATGCCGGCTTGACTTCTTACAAGCAAGGTGTTCTCAATTCAAGCGGCAATATGTTATGAGATATTCAGACGCAGCCAAGGCACCAACCAAGATGTTCGATGTAGCGGATGAGCACGAGACCAGGACTTTTCTGGAAGTCGAGATGGGCCGTTCTCTCGAAAAGGCCCGAGCAGTCATCCCAGCCGCAGCTCCCAACCCGAAGCAGGGAAACGTCGGGGCTTTTTGGTAGACCCACTTCCGGGACAGCTTCGGTCAGCTTGCTGGCACTCCGAGCCGCACGCACAGCTTGTTGCCACTCACGCATGCAAGATTTGGGCGAGGGAGGCGGCTTCAGCACAAGAGATGCAATAGCACCAGGACCAATCTCAATGCTGCATGCCTGCGGCAGGACCAATTCGCAAGCCTCTTTCTGCAGGTTTGTCTGCTCCCAGTCTGCTCCAAGCTCAGCTGGAAGGAAAATCTTCTTGGCATCACAGTACTCCTGCAAGCGGAGGGATTTCTCGTCGATGACCTCACTGATGCAATAGCTGCGCTTGATCTGCTCCTTGGCCACCGGGTCAAAGGCAAAGAGCTGCAGCGAGCAGTGTGTCTTGCCGAGTTGGTGCGGTACCTTCGTGCGAACTACAGAGTTGGCCGAGTCAATCTCCGCAACATCCACAGACACATTCCGGCAAAGGTTGAAGCTGCTCTTTCCCATCCTGAGAGAGTGGTCCACGAAGAAGCTTCCCCCGTCCAACATGGGAATCCCATCAACTCTGATTTCTGCCCCACGAGGGAAGCTGTGCCCCGGAACCGTAAGTTTGGTCTCATGCTTATCGCACTCGATCTTGGCGACACGCCTAGTCCACGGCATGGCGAACTAAGCCCTGGCACTCACCTAGCGAGATGCCGAGTCTACACCATGGCATCCAAGGTTGTTTAGGATAAAAGAGTGTGAGGTTGTAGATTGCTTGGATCCCATGATCATAAGACAAGAACGAATGCGTGAGTCATATGGCGCAAATCGAGAAGCACAAGATAGCTAAAGCAGATCTACACAAGACCACCGGAGCCTTGAAAAGACTGGGCCAAAAGCAAGGAGCAGTGCTGTAAACTTGCCCCGAAGCCCTAAACCCCATAACCCTTTAGTATCCTTGCTTGCAAGGATTTGGGCCTTGCTTCTGGCTTTGACCCCAGCACAGCCCATGATCGCCCACTGGTTCTGGTGGTTGGCATTCCGGCTGCTGCAAAAAGATTCGGTTCATGCATTGGTGTGCACGCCCCCCGGGTGGCCGACTGACATAGCTGACGGCCTTGGTGTCTTCAGCGGCGAGCTTTGCTTCTCGTGACGAAGGAGGAGGAGAACAGCGCAGTTCATTCAGAACTTCTTCAAACATCAGCTCTGCAAACCATGCGACTAGCTTGCACCCTGACCGGGGATTGAGTCCACAGGCCACGTATTTGTGATTGCGGCAAGGGTCCGATGCATTGGCAGAAGCAGATGTGGCTAAATCCCATGATCTCTCCGCTGAGACTGTCGCCTGACGGAATGACACAGATCCGTGGGCTCTTCTCGGCTCCTGTTTGCTTCGAACCCGTGCTCTGCCATGAAGGTTCAGGACTGTGTCGAGCCGGAAGCAAAGGCAGCATTTGAGAGGGCCCGACTCCGGGTCTCTCCGTTGCATCTCACCGTCTGCAAAAATTCAACACGGAGGCTTCTCATTTTGAAGCTCCCTCGGCACCCTCTGCATCCTGCAACACCGATACTTTAAGGTTACGTGTATTGGCTGCGCGGGATTTGTTGCCTGCATGCCCTAATCCTTAGATTCCCTGTCCTGGACCTCCAGCCGCGGTGGCGTTATTTCCACCTGCGGCGTGGTTTAAGCTTTAGGGTTGTTGTTGGCTTACGGCTTCGGGTGCGCGGGTTGGTTCAAGTTGGTTGTTGCCAGGATCCCGCTCAGGTGTGTTGCGCGTGTGCTACGAAACCAAGCCGGTACACCAGCTGAGCACTCGAAAGAGATATTAAGAAGTCCATCCACCTCTCCCCTCTCTGCCCCCGGAATCAAGCTGAATTCGTTTCGTCACCCGAACCCGAAGGAACTCTTCGAAAATCCCCTTTAGGAACCAATATGGGGGTTTCCGAAAATAGGGGACCCTAATGTAGTACCCCTGAATAGTAGGATCCTCATTGTAAGGACCCCAAAATACGGTACCCATAATTTTCGGAAACTCTACACCCTAAACCCTTTATAGAACCCTTACAATACCCTTATACTACCCCTTTAAAGGAACCCTAAAGTACCCCTAAATTTTGCAAAATCGTAAGAAACCCTCCGAAGCCGCCTTCGGCGGCTTCTCGGGGCTTCGGCCCGCAGCCGTGGATGCTCCGGACAGGCCGGTGGCATTGGAGGCCTCTGGGGGCTTCGGGGTCCTTCTGGTTCTGCTTTTATATATATAATATAATATAGTAAATATTCTCATATAAATATAATATATATATATATATATATACATAATACAAATATACATGTATATACATATGTATATATATATATATATATATATTGGCAATGAGTATCGTCATATACTTATGTTTATGATTTTGATTCGTAGCTGCTTATTAACACCGTTATCCTTCGCACTCGCAGCATTGACACTATGCCGGCACGATTTTCTAAACATTCCCCATACTATAAAGCCAGGGCTCCAAAGGTACCTTGCAGGGAAGATCGATTTGAACATATTTGAAATCTCAGTTATCGCGTATGATCGTATAATTCATTGTAGTGGCGTACATGATAAAATGTTCTGGTGCATGAAAAACTTGACATCACCCTAACTCGCCAAGTGGCAGAGGAGGGCGAGCCAGGCCACCCATGACCTGTCGGAGCGATCGGCGGTAGATTCTTTAATTAAAGATAGCGGTACCACAGCGGTATCTTTTGCAGGGATGGATGAAGTGAAGATCCTAGTATCCAGGATCTATCTCTCTCTTTTCGCCCTTTTGAGACTCCCAGTTGCGGCATCCCCCTGCCCAAACAAACGAGGGCGAAACCAAAGCCCAGGAAACCTTACGTATGTAGCAAACGACTTGCTATGGCGACTCCCCCTGTGCGCATTTGCGTGTTCAATTCAGCCGACGGTTTAAGGTTTAGGTCTCGGAGTTCGTTGCATCTAGTCCAGGTACCATTGCTGCGTCGCATTAAAGCAAAGCACCTAAATAAAGTGAAAGACAGGGAAGCGCCAAGCCTGCATCTGAGCTGTTCGGCAGCTGCCAAACGGCCTCATGTCCGTGAAAAAAGTATCTTAATGATTTTACGGCTTGCGAATCTGCCAAAATATGCAAGTTGGCTTTTTGAAGAGCCGTCTTCTCACAGTACAGCTGCACGAGCTGCATTGCCGGGAAGGTCCAAAGCAAGAACCCCGCCTCCTCGGACCAGTTTGCCGGAGACCTCAGCTTTGCTGATACGAGTACTGCCTGACAGTCTGAGAATGCTTCCTACGCTTTCTAGCATCTTTTAACAAAGCGTACAATTACGTACTTGTCAATACTGACTGAATATGAACACTTAGTTACACCAACAAGTGCATGTTTGCGCCTAGTTACGCTGACTTCGTCAACGATACATCTTCAGCATTCTCTATTGCTAGCAAGCGCTCTGTGCATGTAGAGGCTTCCTTTGCTTTTGAGCACAGTTCCGCTCGCTGCACATGTCGATTTCGCATGGAGGGCATCCAGCCAAAGGTGGCAAGCCGAACATCCGGGCTGCTGCTCGCAACTCAGAAACTCAGAGCGTCCAACTCGGAACATCGATGCCCAGTGAATACCAGGCCCGGCCTCTGCCACGACAGTCGAAACTGTTGACGAACAAACTCTGAGCGAAGTAGCTCCACCCAAAGCGCTGAGCCAAAAGCACAATGAGTTGCCCCTGCACTCTGGCTAATTGGCCATGAAGCCTCCTAACTGTTTCCACGTTGGCACTCGAACAAGAATGCGAGAAGTGCACGGCGAGCATGCACGCGAGCCTGCAGAAAACCCTTGCTTCCCTCATGTGTGCTGAACATCTGCGCGCGTGACCCTGCATCAGATCGAAATTTGACGAGATTAGAACCAAACTTAGGCCCCAAGCCTTATAATCCTTATGCAACTATGCCGCGACGCACGAGAAGCTGGGTGCCTGACCCCCGGCGAAAGCGAGACCTGTGCAACGCGAAAGATCCGGCCGTTTGGCATCATGGACATGCATAGCTCAACAGTTGAAGAGTCTAACACTGTATCACGACAAGTCCTCGTAGCAAGGAATAATTAAAAACCATAGCAGCGGCCACCAATTTCAATGACAACACTAAAGACGCGCGAGTGACGAGTAGGTGGGTCTTTAATGGGGCTTTCCGGCGACTCATTTCCTGCATGTCTTGACCGTCCTCAACAACGGATTTTGTTGGCCCGACGGAGTTGTTTGGCTCGCTGTTTTTCTTTCTACTAATGGTCACGAGTGGAGGTAGGTAAGAAAAGTCCTCAAAATGAAGACGACTACCGCAATGCCATTGTACTTCCAGTACTACAACTGCACTGCGTCACCAGGTCTCATGCCTCCGACTGCCGCAGAGGAGTGTAGGATGAAGGCAAACGTCTTCAAAATGAACTGTTGATGATAGTCTTGGTAGTTACCTTCGAGTGATGGGGGTTTGGTTTCGTTGTTTTGGTAGCCCCTTTTTGCAGCTGGGCTCTCAGTGTCAGCCAGCGAATCCACCCACGCTCTGAAGCCACCTAGACCTATGCTCCTGTACTGCTACTCCACCACTGTACTACTGATATACTACGTCTACACTCCAGTACTACTACCATGCTACTATTATGCGAGTAATGCATCAGTACTGTACTACTTTGTTGCTGGCTGCTGCTCACCCTTCGGCCCACACCCTCCTAAGGATCTTATCTCTCTCTCACCCAAACCCGCCGCACCTCTACAGTGCTTGTCTCCCTACAGTCCCCAACCCCAACCCTGGAAATTGAGGACGGAACAACATTAACAACAATCTAGGGCCTTAGATGCTGCTCGCCCAAAATGCCACATATCATCCAAGCTGCATCGGGCTAAGGACGAATGGATCTCAAGATCTGACCATGCAGTGGCCTTCGCGGCTGCTGTGGAGGAGTGGATGGACGCAGGCCCCCCGCCTTTGTCGTGCAGGGTTGGTGCAAGCCCAGTCTGGTCTTCAAGAAACTGCATCACATAGCGAGCGAGACTTTCAGATCATACAGTACGATGCAACGCAGCCACGGCAATGCTAAGTTCTGAGGCCCAACCCTAAACCCTTCCAAACCTCAAAGCCCCTGCGATTTTCTGACTCCAAGTCTGCGGCCAACTTTGCTGAAGCCGTCAAAGGAAATCCTCGGCCAGTGGTCGCTACGAGAAAGGATCAAAAGAGTCGACGCTTCGGGTCGTATTGGCACTGTAAGATTTAGCGAAGTTTGCACGGAGCTTGACAGTTTGGAACACTGTAGGGTTGAGGATTCAGATGGATGTAGGGTTTTAGGGCGTGTTGCTTGTCTCGTTTTGCTGGCTCTTTTCCTCCTCCCCCGAATGGCAAAGTTCCAGAACGTCAGGCTGGTTGCTGGCTGAGCCGAATACGGGCAAATCTGCTTTCAATAAAAAACAACTTAACAAAGGTTTTCTCTTAAAAGTTGTAATTGAACTTTAAGTAAAAGTTTCAACTAGAAGACAATTGGCCCGAAAGCATCATTAGCGAAGAGTTTAGCGCTACGTTATAGAATCCAGTGCATAGAATTATAGAGTCATAGCGCGAAGTGCATCTTATTATGAAGTATATGGCAATGCCGAGATCGATATTTTTGAATCTATGAACTTG